CATGCCCAGACCATCCAGCTCTCTAGATGTTTCCGTCTCGCTTACCTCTCTGCTGGTGAAGAGCCAAGGGTGCAAGCAGGCTTGCTGGCTAGCGATTGCCGTCACTGCAGAGGTCTTGGGCCAGGCACCAAAGCTGCAAACAGCTTGAATCAAAACAGAGCCAGGCAGGCTCTTGGCTGCTTGCTCATCCAAATCACAGCCGTCCTCACCGAGCAAAGGCTGATTCTATGTCTGTCTGCTGCAGTTCGTCACATCTCCTTTTTCACTTCCTGATGCACTTCTGACTCACCACAAAGCATGAACTTTGCTATCCCAAGCTGATAAGCTAAGACATCCTATCAAAGCAAATGCAATTGTGAAAGAAGCAACACACAGGTGTTCTTGCAACTGAGGAGACCTGCCCTGGGTCATAGTGCCAAGTACTTGCTCGTCTTTGCTGCCATGCTAACTCAGCCACCCCCAGGACTGACAGGGGAAAATCAAAACATCCACTTCCCAAAATATTGTTAAACAGGAGGAAGAAGTGAAATATGTGACGTGAGAGCAAAGTTGATTTAATCCCACGCCAGCACAGCGACTGAGAGTCCTGTCAGTCTCAGGGACTTGGGCACTTTGGGGCCAAAGCCCTGCCCGGGAGCCCAGCTGCGTGCTGCTGGCATGTGGCAGGGACCCAGAAAGAGCTGAGCTCTGGAAAGACGTCAGTGCCCATGGCAGGCAAAGGCGTGTTTGCCACAAACAGTCAGTCCCTGTCGTTCAAGGCTGCAGGAGGCACGGCGCTAATAAGAAAGTGCAAGGGCTGATTTAGCAGGACATCTGCAACCTGGCACGGCCAAGCGTAGCTGGGAAGGGATCTGCCCTTCTGCAGAGCCCGTGTGGCACTCTGTTGCTTCAAGTCCTATATCTGCTTTGCCAGTCCCAGCACACCTGGAAGAAGACGCAGGTCGTGGGGACACTCCTAATCGTACTGTGGTCCTTCCCCAGGAGCAGCCGCCCTGAGAAGAAGGTGCCATGCCTGTGGGCTCCCTCGTTCCCTGCCCGGCTCCTCCGCCCGCTGGCTGTTACTGCTGGTGTTTGACTTTCTCACTCCTTTCCTCCCTTTTTCTGTAGTCACTGTCTCCTCATTCAGGGAGTGACATGCCGAGGGATATATGTTACTGCTGGTCATAAATCCTTGGGGGGTACAATAGCACCCGAACCACTGATCTCACCCTGCTCTTTTTTAGTGCCTCTCAGTTTTTTAACCAGATCCCCTTTCTCACTTCCTAGTTGCTGGGATCTTTGTTCTCGCAGCTTTTTGTGTCTCTTCAGTTCCTGTCAAGGCTCTCGTACCGATAAAGGCTTGCAGATATACCTGGGGGGGGGGAAAAAAAAACAAGAAAACCACCCAACTTTGCTTTAGAAGTTGAAGGTATATTTGTTCATAAATGTGGATGCTTTTTACCTGCTGTAGTTGATATTTAAGCCCCACTTTTCATCTTTTTTGTAACCAAGAAATTAGATTATTCTGATGATTAGAACCGTGAAGACATTCAAGACTTCAAGACTTAGGATGGCTTGTTTATAATGAGAGATACATGACATCAAAGCTGAGACCTCCATCTTTAACTCACGAGTTCTGATTGCACTGCTACTGCCTGCTCCCTAGGTGTGTCCGTCCCCTTCATCTCCTGAGGGCCCCGTGGAAGAGGTTGTGGACACCTTGGCAAGTAAGCTCTGCAGGCTTCCTGTGCTTTTAGTATCACAGGATCCCAAAGAAAGCTTTTGTTTGGATAAATCCCGAAGTTTGCCTTGCAGCTCTTGGTTCGCTAGGGAACTGAAGAGGCGTAGAGTGTCCCCCAGTGCCCCGCGGTCAGGTCCAGCAGCACATGTGCAGCAGCTCGCGGGGACAGGTTGCCCAGCATGCCCAGACCATCCAGCTCTCTAGATGTTTCCGTCTCGCTTACCTCTCTGCTGGTGAAGAGCCAAGGGTGCAAGCAGGCTTGCTGGCTAGCGATCGCTGTCACTGCAGAAGTCTCGGGCCAGGCACCAAAGCTGCAAACAGCTTGAATCAAAACAGAGCCAGGCAGGCTCTTGGCTGCTTGCTCATCCAAATCACAGCCATCCCCACCGAGCAAAGGCTGAGTCTATGTCTGTCGTGCTGCAGTTCATCACCTCTCCTTTTTCACTTCCTGATGCACTTCTGGCTCACCACAAAGCATGAACTTTGCTATCCCAAGCTGATAAGCTAAGACATCCTATCAAAGCAAACGCAATTGTGAAAGAAGCAACACGCAGGTGTTCTTGCAACTGAGGAGACCTGCCCTGGGCCATAGTGCCAAGTACTTGCTCGTCTTTGCTGCCGTGCTAACTCAGCCACCCCCAGGACTGACAGGGGAAAATCAAAACATCCACTTCCCAAAATATTGTTAAACAGGAGGAAGAAGTGAAATACGTGACGTGAGAGCAAAGTTGATTTAATCCACCGCCAGCACAATGACTGAGAGTCCTGTCAGTCCCAGGGACTTGGGCACTTTGGGGCCAAGGCCCTTCCCGGGAGCCCAGCTGCACGCTGCTGGCATGTGGCAGGGACCCAGAAAGAGCCAAGCTCTGGAAAGACGTCAGTGCCCATGGCAGGCAAAGGCATGTTTGCCACAAACAGTCAGTCCCTGTCATTCAAGGCTGCAGGAGGCACGGCGCTAAGAAAGTGCAAGGGCTGATTTAGCAGGACATCTGCAACCTGGCACAGCCAAGCGTAGCCGGGAAGGGATCTGCCCTTCTGCAGAGCCCGTGTGGCACTCTGTTGCTTCAAGTCCTATATCTGCTTTGCCAGTCCCAGCACACCTGGAAGAAGACGCGGCTCGTGGGGACACTCCTAATCGTACTGTGGTCCTTCCCCAGGAGCAGCCGCCCTAAGAAGGTGCTGTGCCTGTGGGTTCCCTCGTTCCCTGCCTGGCTCCTTCACCCGCTGGCTGTTACTGCTGGTGTTTGACTTTCTCTCTCCTTTCCTCCCTTGTTCTGCCGTCACTGTCTCCTCATTCGGGGAGTGACACACCGAGGGATATGTTACTGTTGGCCATAAATCTTTGGGGGGTACAATAGCACCCAAACCACTGATCTCACCCTGCTCTTTTTTAGTGCCTCTCAGTTTTTTAACCAGATCCCCTTTCTCACTTCCTAGTTACTGGGATCTTTGTTCTCGCAGCTTTTTGTGTCTCTTCAGTTCCTGTCACGGCTCTGGTACCGATAAAGGCTTGCAGATATACCTGGGAGGGGGGTTTCCTTCTCGCTTTGCACCCTCTCTGACACTCTCTGTAGGAACTTTCCCCTCCCCTGCAGCCCTCGCCTCCCGCACAGATGTGGACACACCTGGCTGCGCCTGGTAGTCATGCCTTCGCCGTGTGTGTCGTAAGAGGGGGACACAGTGGCACTTAGCCTAGCCTGCGAGCCCACGGTGCCCCGCAGCATCCCTTACCCAGCCGGGCTCACTCACCTCACTCACCCTCGGTGCATCAGCTGGCGAGCTCCATCTCCTCCTGCCCGGGCGGGCTCCCACCTCTGCCCCTCGCTCTCTCTTGGAGGCTCAGCTCATGAGGAAGAGCAGCACAACCCCCAACGTTTCCTCACCCCAGTCTGAGTCGACAGCAGGTAAGACCAGATCACCAGGGTGTGTGTCGGAGGCTACACCCTGACACTGCAGATCCCAACACGCCTGCCGCCCCGGCATGCTGACTCCAGAACGCAGGAGCAAGGACCCAACGGGACAAGGAACGTGGGGAGCCGGGAAGGCAAGGAAAGAGGTGGAAAGCGTGCTACAACGGAGAGGCTGCTCAGGTTCCAAAGGGTGGCTGATACAGCCCAGTACTCTTCAGACCTCTTTGTGCAGGGAAATGTGGAGGAGCACAGCAAAGGGGTTAACCTATGTGTGGGGCCGTGGTGGAAGAACCAAAGCAGGGCCAGAGCAGCAGCGTTTCACTTTCTGAATGATTCAGACAGGAAAAGCAGAAACCTCTGGGCTGCATGAGGAGTTTCACCTTCCAGGGTGGTGGGGACAGCTAGCACTTCCCAGGTCTGCTCAGCGAACGTCAGGCTTTGCTCCCAGGACATTTCACCTCCCAGTCACACATTTTCCTGGATTCCCAGGGGCTCGTAGGAAAGGGCTGCCCACCGGCAAGAGGGGCAGGCACCCCATTATGCCTGCTTAGGAGAAGGGCAAAGACTGTCCCTCTTGCCGTGGGGAAGAAAATGAGGGGGGTAAAGGGAGATGTGCCAGAGAAAGAGTTAAGAGAGCCAGAGAGCAGCCGGGCTGCGTCTGTTTGCCGTAGCTATGTGGGCTGCAGGGTAGAAAAGAAGAATCTCCAGTCTGGAGGAGGCAGATGACGGAGGGTCCTCAAGAACAGCAGCTGGGGATTAGGAAGGCAGCAGGTTCCGGTCTTGGCTCCCACGAGCTGTCACTGCAGGGAAACTCTCCGGATCCCCAAAAGGCTTGGTGGCAAAGAGATGATGAGCTGGTGGGTCTAGTAACAGCTGCTTGGTGCTGCCAGGTTTTTCTTGCATGGAAGGCTCTGTCTGCTGCTGGCTGGGTCTCAGGCTGCTTCCTGCTGGTGAAGTGACTTGACTGTGGAAGGAGACAACCAGATTGCTGACAGGACAGCAGAGACCGGAGGTCCAACACTGATACTGTCCCCAGCCATGTGAGCTCCCTCCAACAGATGCCCACCCCAGAGTCCTAGCTCAGAGCTCTCCCACAATGCTGCCTGAGCTGTAGGTAGGGAGCAGCACCGGCGTGGACGCCCTCACAGGGCCAACCTGCCAGGTTTCTGCAGGCCACTGGCTCTCCGCTGCTGGCAGGCACACCGCGGCAGCCCATGGTCATTGCCCGGGGCGCGGGCTACCCACGCTTTGCAGCACTGGGCCGGAGCTGCTGTGAAAGCGACTGTCGGGCAGAGGTGGCGGGAGGTCTGAGGAGGGGATCCAGGCAGCTGCTGCGCCGTGGCTGAAGGTGGAGTTTTGTCGAGGACGGGATGGAGATGGTGTGTCTGTACGTGGTGTTGATCCCCGTGCAGCATGTCCTTGCTGTGACCTGGCTGTAAGTATGCTTTTCACTTGTATTATCTGGGCTGCAAAGTCACCTGGGGAGGTGCTGTCTCCTAAGAAAATGGGCAGATCTGTGAGAAAAGCGCGGAAGAAAGAACCCGGGCAACCCAAAGGCAGCACAGTCAGAGGCACATCTCGGAGCATGAAGGCCGTTTCTGCTCTAAAATCAGGCTATGGAGGGCTAAGCCCTACAGAAATGGCCCTGGCTCTAGTCCATCTGCGACTGAATCTCTCCCCTGCCCCACAGGTACCTGGCCAAGCAGCCTTCCCTGCGGGCGGTCCTCCGGAACCCCGGGGGCTGCGAGGGTCTGACGGGGCTGGTAGAAGAGCAGGTCCGCATTTGCCGGCGGCAGGTGGAAGCCATGGATGCAGTGAAGCGAGGCACGGAGCTGGCTGTCGAGGAGTGCCAGCACCAGTTTCACTCTCGCCGGTGGAACTGCTCCACCCTGCAAGGGCTGCAGGTCTTCAGCAAGGTCACCATCCAAGGTCAGCAAGGGGGAGGCAGGGCAGGCAGAGCTGGCACGGGGTCCCTTCAGTATGGCCACGGAGTCCCCTCAACACATGAGCCTTTCCTGGGCTTGTATGCAAGTGTCACATGGGGACCAGCCCGAGTGGCCAGTGCCTTCCTCCACAAGCTAACAAAGCTCTCAGCGCAGAGCAAACTGAACCAAAGGCACAGGGTGTTACAAATATTAATATTCTGACTAAACTTCTTCCTCTTTTGGCCAGGCTTGGCTTTTTGGTCTCATCTGGACCATTCTGGGTACCAGTTCTGCAGACTGATAGATCATCTCCCCCAGCCTGCCACCAGCCCAAACTTTTGGAGTAGCAGCTCAAATCAAGACTTTTTCTCTGAAGCTGCAGTCCCTTTTTGTTGCAGGCCAGGGAAGAATGATCTGCCTATGCTCCCGAAAAGATTTTGCATGTGTTTGCATAGAAGGAGCCATACAGGGAGCTCTGAGCAGGTCCCCTCTGGCTCCTAGAGACAGGGCAGCAGGGTCCTCCCTGGCAAACCTCTCTGCGTGGGAGGCTCAGGTGCTGATGTCCCCAACCACGGCTCCCCTTTCTCTTCCCTTGGGGGCTGCTGACTTCTCTCCTGCAACGGGGCACCTGTCCCAGGAACTGAGGGCGCCACAGGCGAGGGCGCTGAGCCAGAAGCCAGAGCTGTCTCCCTTGCTGTCTCCAGGCCTTGGGAACTGCAGCATCCTGGCAGTGTCCGCCTGAATACAGCCTTCCTGCAGGCAGTCACAGCCTCTTTTGCCCCTGCTGTGTCCCATCGTCGCCTTCCCCCTCCACAGACTGGTGCCGTTTCACGCGGGAGTCTGCTTTCATCCATGCCATCTCCGCTGCCGGTGTTGCCTTTGCTGTGACTCGTGCCTACAGCTGTGGGGAGCTGGAGAAGTGTGGCTGCGACCGCAAGATCCAAGGGCTGAGCCCCGAAGGTGAAGGAGGAGGCCGGTGGCAGGGAGGGGGTGGCAGAGGAGAAGATCCATGGAGGAGACCCTCACCAGGGGAGGAGACACCTCCCTTCTCCACAGCGCTCAGCCCTTTGGGAGCTCCTCCCAGGGCTTATGCTTCTTCATCTTCTTCATCTCATGCCTGCTTTCCCTCTGCAGGCTTTCAATGGTCCGGCTGCTCTGATAACCTGTCTTACGGAATTGCCTTTTCTCAAGCCTTCGTAGACAACCCCGAGAGGAGCTGCAGCGTCTTCTCCAGCTGAGCGCTGATGAACCTGCACAACAATGAGGCTGGGAGGAAGGTAAGGGCAGGAACAAGGGCTGGGAAGCAAGCCTGGTTTCAGGGGCTTCTCCCTGGCTAGGCAGAGCGTGGTCCAGCCCCCTTACCCCGCAGAGCAGTTTGGGGCAGCCGTGACCTCCCAGAGGGGCTCTGCATCCTGCT